CCGCTGGCGGTGTTCGTGGAAGGCAGGGGACGTGTGTGGGTGGGGGGAGAAACCAAAAACCAAAAAAAAAAAAAAAAAAACAGAAAAGTATTCATATTGACCATAACCACAAAACAAAATGAAATGGTACGCCCAGGACCACACCACACAATTGCTTAAGTGGGAAAACAATAGAACGGGGGGAAGAACCGGAGTAAAAGAAACCCCCCCCCAAAAAAAAAAAAGTAAAAAATAAATAATAATAATAAAAAAAAAAAAACGGTATTTTATAAAATCAAATTAATAAATGCGCATTTAAGTGCGCGTACGCATTTGTTGCATTTCATTCCACACACACACCTGCCCTACCACATCTTGCGCCTCGTCCAAGGACACTTCGGGACATCAAAAATTGAACCCCCGCCACGCCCCCTTTTTTTTTTTTCCTCCGTTTTCTCGCCTTATTTTATTATTTTATTTTGTTTATTTATTTTTAAAGCTAAAAATTCATCTCTCTCTCTCTCGTTTTCGTCGTTCCCCCCCTCCCCCCTTTTTGTTTTTTCTTTGTTTTTGTAACTCCCCACTCCACCACCCCGTTCAATTTTATTTATTATTTTCGTTCTTTTTTCTTTCTATTTTATCCCCTCGCTTTTGTATCATCGCGAATGCGTTTTCGTTAGTAAAAGAAAAGAAAAAAAAAAAAGGTTCCAGGTACCACGCATCCGGGAGTGAGCGCAGTCACGGCACCAAAGAAAAAAAACTTAAAGTCCCTTGTAGTAAGTATACATCTTCACTGGCGTGCCGTCCTTGCGCTTCAGATCCTGAAAAGACGTTTCCAGACGATTAGCGGGAATGCTCACAGTCGTGCTGAAGGCACCAAGGGCGGCTGGCACGCCCACGGCAAGACCTGCGATCTGCAAGGCTGTCTCTGTACATATCGGGTACGCCCTAGCGAAGCCAAAGCGAGCCGTGAGTGGTGCCATCAACAGTGTCGGAAGAAACATGGAAGGAATATTCCATACAACACGTGTCACGGAGCACTTCTTCAGGCTGTCCATGCCGGCAACGAGGCTGTACCCACGCACTTCACCGTCCTCGTCCACAACTTTCAGTCCCTGACCAGACGACATCCATTCATTCTTGCGCATCAGCGAGAGGTTCACAATAGCGGCAGCGGAAACAGCAAGGCACGGCAGCGTTGCACGAATGACCGTTGCCTGCAGGGTGCCACTCGGCACGCGCTTAAGCAGCGCAGTCGCGCCCAATGCGCCCGAAACGGAAATACCCACCGCCGCAACGTACGCCTTCGACAACTCCCCCAACTTCTGCTTCTCAGAGGAACGATTGGCGTAGTTCACAGCAGAGTTATAGCTCTGGTTAAACCACTGGATGAATACAGTCCGCGCAACGCTGCTGACGGTTCCTGGCGTCATCATAAAGGGTACGATAAGACTGTTCATTGGAAGAAATGCACACATGCGGAACAGGGGGAAGATTACTTCTCCGGTGGTTGGATGCACGCAGTTTTCAATGGCCATGCGTGCCTTCCAAAGCGTTTTGTCGTCTACCGACACCTTCTCACCCGCCGCCACACGGTCCAAGAGAAGCCTCTTCTGCATCAGCATGCGTTCCGTCTGGAAGCACAGCAGCGGATTGATGGAGAAGAAAAAGTATAAACTGCGACCTATGTAGGTGTCCGTGTCATACATAGGCTTCGTAAGAGAAAATGGTGGGTAACTGAACATTGTTATCAACCGCCTCTTGTAGACAACCCGTACACTCTCAAAGTAAATCAAGAAAATAAAAATTTCAAACCTTTAACTGGCGCGTCAAGAAAAAAAAAAGAAGAAAGAAAGGAAGGAAAGAGAAAAAAATGTCCAAAAAAAAAAAAGAGCGACAAAAAAGAAAAACACATGAGTCATGTGAGCCACGGCCAACCACACGGTACGAAAACAGAGAGGCAAATAGGAGACAAAACAATACACGACTTCTCCCTTCTGATATATGCCGGCTCCGCAGCATTTGTTACAAGCACGCATCTTTCTCGCTATTCTTCCCTCGCGCTCAAAGACGTGCCTCTTTCACCACCCACGTCGTCAAGACAAGTTTGTGTTACGTCCAACCTCAGGTGCGAGTGCGGCACGCCAAATGTGCGAGAGATCACGCCACGGCCCTTCAGTTGGCATGGAGCGCATAAAACTCTCACCCTCCTGCACACTATCCACAAAGTTCATGTAGACGTGCTCGGTGCCATCCTCTCTCTTCTTCTCATCCCTATTCACCCTCGTCTTATCGCCCTCCTTCCCCTCTTCCTCCTCCTCCCTCGTCTGTGCTGGATGACTTCCACGTTTTCGACTTTTCGCTGATACAAATGAAAACGTCGTGGCGTCCTGCAGTGGACATGTCACCAACCGAACAGCAACCGTCTCAGAAGATTCCCACCTCATTTTCTCCAAAATCCAACGTTCCAAATGCCGCACCGCAACCTCCCCACCTGTCAACACCACCAATGCATCGCACCGGCACACCCAAAGGATAAAACCACGCAACAGACCATCATTTGCAAAGTTCCGCAGCTTCCCAAGATGTGCAGGGGTAAAAATGGGGTAAATGCGATAGACTCTAAAGACTGGCTGTTCCTCAGAGTGCCGTTTGAGGTCACGCTTGCGCTTTTCAACCTGCTGCGGAATTGCCGCCACATGACGTTCGTGATTACGGCGTTGGTGTTCAAGAAATCGTTCTTGGTACTGTGAAAAAACTTTATTCTCCGTGCTCAGTGGGTTCATCACGCTGTCACTAAAAAGATTGAAGCGAAGGTTGTTGTTGGTGAGACGATCCTTCGCCGTGGAACCGAGCGATGCGGCCGTAAGCTCGCCGCCGAACTGCGCCTCATGTCGTTGCTCCTGGCGAGCAAATTTCTTCGCGTAATCACGAACTTCCTTCTCCTTGCGTAGTCGCTCGCGACGCTCCGCACGTAACTCCTCCCGAGTCTTCATCAATTTTACCTCAACCGGTCTTTCGTCTGCTCGGTGCTGGTAGTGCTGTGAGTAGTGTGTCCCGGGTAGCACGGGGTGATGCACACGATCGAGGGGCCCTGCAGCCAAGTTTGCCGCTCCATAACGCGGCATGGAGAGCGCCCAGAGGTCCCACGGCTCCACGTCGGGAACACCATCTTCAAAGAATTGATCCAGCAAGAAATATTTTTGGAGCGGCGCGGCGCCAACACGTCCTGCGTTCAAGGCCTCCTCCGAAGTGGTAACTTCGCCGTGCCAAAGGGCTCGCAGCCGCTGCTCGTATGTTTCACGTCGTGTCTGGCATGACTCCTCCTCCTTCCGCGCCGCATCTTCGCGCCAGAAGGCGTCCAGCAGCTCCTTACTTCTTTTGGCATCATCGGTGCCACCACTATTGTTACTCGCGACGCCAGACGCTGTCATGCCAGTGGCAGCAAGTGGGGCTGTTGAATTAAACACCGGTGGGATCGCCGGGGCGCCACCGAAGCCAACACGACGGCGTGCAGCAACTCGGTGTGTCTGTGAGTTGAGCCTTGGGTCCACTGCCTGCAGCACAACTGCTGTCTCCTTTTGTTTCTGTGCCGTGTCTGTCACCGTGCACTGCAGTAGTGCGGGAGGAACGGCGGGCCTCGCCGGGGCTGCCTTCTTCGTCACTGCAGAAAAGTCAATTTCTGCGTCATCGTCGATGCTGATTGGCCGATGCCGCGGTTTATTCGACGCCATGCCCAAAGCTACAATGTATATATATATGTATATATGCCCTTTGCACCTCCTGTTCCTCTGGGAGGGAAAAAAGGAAGGAATGAGTCAATCAGTTAACCGCACGGACTCACGGGACCACCCAATAACATATTTAGCAAAGAGTAGACTTCAATACACATGTACAACATTGACTACGGATTGTACGGAACTCCTGCGTGCAAATATCTGCCTTCTTCTTTTTGTTGTTGCTGCTCTTTTCTCGCATATTTGTTTTCCTTTCTTTTTTCTTCCCTCTTTTTTCTTTGTTATTATTTGCAGAAGGAAAAAAAAAAAAGAGTTTCTTCTCATCAGTTCTCTTTTCGCCGCTGTTGATTTAACCGTCTTTAAACGCACGTCCCCCTTTATGCCTCATCCTCTTCTTTCCCCCAGACAGTGCAGCTCACTTTGAGGGGCAGTGGCGAGAAAAGTGGGCATCTGAGCCGCAGTGCTTGCACTGATCCTTCGACGTGCACAGTGCGACATGCCGTTGCTCTTGTTTTCGTTGTTGCTGCTTCTCGTTTTTCTTGTTAGGGGGCTCATGGTGCCCTGCTTTGTCTTGTTTCTTGGGCACAACAGCGTGGGCCACGGCAGCATCGTCTAATCCCGTGTGATCCTGCGGCCTCGCCGATTCACCGGCGCTGTGAGCGTCGGCATCGCAGTGCCGCGTGAAGTGCAGCGATGACCCGCACTTTTGGCAGCAGTCTGCAGGGAAGACGTGTTTTGCGGCGCGTTTGCGTGGAGAGGTGCCGCGCGGCCCAGATCCCGTGGCGACTCCCGCAGCCCCGCCTCTTTTTCCATCCGCGTCCTCCGTGCTCAAGTCGGCGCTGCACTGCCGCGTGAAATGTTCCGTCGACCCGCACCGGCGACAGGCGTCGCCATTCGAGGCGGTCGTCGTTCCCCCACCCGCCATTGCCGCGTTTTCGCTTTCGGTGGTGGTCTCCTCCGTGGCAGGCGGACGTTGCCGCTTCCGCTCCAACGGCCCTCGACCCACACGCCCTTGCGGTTTGTCGCCTTCTGTCTTCCTTCCTGAATAACGCTGCGGCAACTGTCCGCCGCAACGGTATATCTCGTCGAGTGTAATGGGACTCGGCAGCACTTGAATCGGCGTGTTGCGGAACCGCAGCCGGCCAATGTACGCAATACCACTCGTCCCGGTACAGCCGTCACTGTCAGCGCCCCCAGTGGGATCACCGCCATCTTTTTTTCTCCCGGCAGCATTGCCCCTCCGCCTCGAGTTGGATGCGGCAGCGACGGGTGCAGAACCCAGCTTCTCCAGCCCACAATCGTCGTCCTTGTCCTTCAGGAGGTCGCTGGCACTCGTGTGAGTATTCACATGTGGTGAAGGCGTAGGCCCCAGGGCGGATGTCACCGCCTCCGCGCGGGCGTCGTCCCGCAGCTCCACCAGGGCAAAGCGGCGCGGCCCAAATCCCGCAAATACGCTGCGACAAACCCCGCCGTCGAAGATGACATTCAAAAACGACTCGTCAGCCACGGACGGCAACGGGTACACCATAAAGCAGCGCCGCGACATCTAAAAAGCCCCTCAAACCTCCCCCACGATGAAACACCGCCGCCGCCTCCCCCGGCGCTCGCCAGCAGCTCGTCGCGGCAAATAAAACTGAAGGCAACACGTGCGTTAAAAAGGGAAGAAAGATTAAAAAGGGAAAAAAAAAAAGAAAAAAGAAACGTAGACAATACAGCAGCGTCAACGCCTAATAAAAATAAAAATAAAAATAAAGAGAGGATAAGAAAAGAAATATGCAACCGTCCCCAGTGCGAGCAAACAAATAGCGGGCGCTACCACCCCATTTTACGGCTAAAAAGCCGCCGGAACAGAAATTATTAAAATCACACACGAACAGGAGTAAGAGCAACAGACAAAAAAAATAAATAAATATATATATACTGAGGGGGGAATGTGTGCGTTAAAAAGGAAAATGTAAACAACACAGGCGGTATCATTGCCTCACCGCCATCGCCAGTGCTCCAATTTCTGTGGTAGGCAGAATTGTAACAACAACAACAACAACACCAACAAGACAAACACGTACACAAACAGATACATGTATATATATATAGATATAGATAGATATAGATACATTACATTACATCCAACAAAAAAAAACAGAAAGAGAGAGAGATAAAAAGAAAAAGAAATGCCTGCAATACGCCAAAAATAAAAATACGGCGTGCAGCAATAATATAATTCCTATGTCCAGCTCTTTTGTTGTTGTTCTTTTGTTTTGTTTTTTGTCCCTCTCTGTCTGTTGCGACCATGCAAACTCAGGAATAAAAGAACTGGGCAAAGACAAAAGAAGAAACGACTCACCAACACACACACACACACAAACAAAAAAAAAAAAAGATGCTTCCACGCCTCGCTTATGGCAACAACAACAACAACCCTCCCGCTACAAGCAAAAGCGGAGTCGGCGTCACAGACATTGACGCAAAAACGCCTATATTATTTACATGTCAACTCCCCTCTCACGTCCCTCCCTTTTCATTTTCATTCCTTCTCTTTCTTTATTTCTTTCGTTTTTATTTCCCCCTTTTTTTTTTTTTTTTCTCTTCGCAATGTGTGTCCTCGTCGTTACTCCTCTTTGTGAACCATACATGCTCATCCCTATCGAGATTAAACCCACGGCTTGGAAAGTATCACGCGGGTACCAAGTCGAGGGAAGCTTGACGCCTTCTCCATCGACCCCTCCGAGTTCAACAAGCGCTTCTTCAGACGAATGCTGTACAATCGCATTGGCCCTCGACCAACGCTACAAGAACCAAAATTGGCGGTGCAATGGGTGCGACCCATACTAGCAGCACTACATTGTTCATCAGGCGACGTGGTGAGGCACGATGCGTTACCGCACGGTGAGACACGCTCAAACTCCCTCCAGTCAACAGGTATCTCCATCGTCTGCTCAAGGACGCGTTGACGAAAGCTGTCGCTCCGTGAACGCTGCATCGCCGTTCGGCGATGCGTGCACTCCGCATGCACCGCCGTCGCCAACTCTACGCTTCGCGTCATTGCAGCAAATGTCGAGTCAATTGTAAGACCCTTACTTTTTGTTGATTTCGGCACCGACGCCGCCCTCCCACCTTTTGACTGCAGAGATGAAAAGAATACAGAGGGAGCCCCTTCGAAGCGGTCGCTGCCGAATGTAGTCTTTTCGGGAAGAGGTGTCCCATCGCGGTCTGCCTTCCTTTCATGTCTTAAATGCTCGCTATGGCGTGTCATCTCCTCACTGTTTGAGGTGACGCCGTAGCAGAAACCCGCATTTGAATCCGTCTGCTGGCCCTCACCGTCGTCCATGGCATCAGAAAGGGCGGCAGCTGCATCAACAGTAGCAGCAGTCATGGGGACACGTCTGTCTCTTGGTAGACAAAAGATGGTTTGATCGTGAAAGTACGGGACCTCCATCACTCGGCCAGTAGTTTGTGCCTTGTGGTTAAAACTGTTCTTCATATTGGTGTAATTTGACGAGCGTAATGGTGTCTTCTCTCGAAGATCTCCCCCTTGCATCGCAGAAGAAAAGATATGTTTCGCATTCGGCGGACTACGCGACACCTGCGATAACATGAACACCTTCTCATGCCTTGAAACATTCCGCCGTGTGGGTGAAACGGTCGATGCTTTCCACAGCGGTATGTCCACTACAAGTCCCCTCTGCTCTGTCCCTGCACTCGCTGCCCTGGCGTACGCCTGTGCGCCACCTCGTCGCGGCTGACGTCGCCATGCTGTGATTTGGTCACGCAGGCGTTGAATCCTCCCGCGACGGTACGCGCGGTCATCAGGCGGTGGAAGATAAAAATCCAGCCGACTTGCCGATTCGCACGCCGGCTTTGCGGCGCCGTTTTCGCTACGAGGCGCCATTGCACGAAATGCCGTTTTGTATTGTTGTTTGTTTTTATTCTTGTTTTTTTGTTTATTTGATTGATTTATTGCCTCCTTTACGCGGTTTGTGTATGTATTTTTTGTTTATGCCTGTCTTTTTGAATATGTACACTTTTTCCCTCCCTTTGAGTTAGTGCAGGTGCCAGAGCCCCCAGCCCACACGCTGCACCGCCCAGCCAAACATATACATACACACATATACGGCGACAATAACACCATGAAGAGAATAAGAAAACACGTTGGAACGACCGTGCATTGCAGAACCCCGCAGCTTCACCTCTCGCAGACGGCAGCAGCAGCAGCAGCAGTCCGTCACGCATGCATGGACGGTGGTGGTGGTGGTGGTTGTGGCCCTCCCAACTCGCCGCAGAAGAGAAACAAAACAAAAATAAATAAATAAATAAATAAAAAGGGCCAAATCAATCGGCAACAAAATAACAATAATAATAAAAATAGCAGGTGCACTAAAGAGGATGGAACCGAAGAGACCACCGACGCATATACCCACAAAAAGGGATGGAAATCACCGCCCAAAAAAAAAGACAACAGTACTGCGGCACTTCAGCCCTTAAATCCCCCACAATGGATGAGGGAAAATGAAGGGAGTTTGTGTTATCAACGAAGAAGTGAGCCACCAACGTGGGAGGAATTGGGAGGCCGCACGCAAATACACACACGCATCAGTAGGCACCGGGCAACACCGAGTCGCTTGCAGAAACACATGCAATTGCACATAAGCGTCGAAGATGTTAAGTACGCATCGGACGTCCTTCCTCGCATAATTGGCTACCCACAGTGAAACCCTCTGTTCTCTGGTCTCGTCGCTTTGCCCTATCCCATGCGGCTGCAGCTGATGGCGTCCACGTAAATAAGGCAAGCGGCAATAACGCAATAGAAAAAAAAAAAAAAAAGACAGGTACGACAACGAATGCAGCAAAACAGCGTCCGACAGGTATGAGCGCGCACACAACGCCTTTACGGTCTCCCTCCCTTCTCCCGTTGCTGTTGATGTTCCTCAACGATAGTGCGGAATTATTGGATCGTAAAAGGCGCGCACACCAAAAACCAAAAGGCCTCTGGTGCGGGGCAACTGCAAGGGATAAGAAAGAGAAAAAAAAAAAAGGAAAGATGTTGTGGACGTTGAGGCCAAGAAGCAACAGCAGTGCAGTATCCAGCCAAAAGCGTGCACATCGACTGCCAACGGTTGGACAAATGCAACCGCAGTAGTAGCAAAAAAAAAAAAGAGAAAAAGAGAGAAAAAAAAAAGCCGCAAAGGAATAACGCAGACCCCCTCCTTTGTTTTTTGTTTTTTTTTTTTTTTTTTTGGTACTCAAAAGCGGCCACCCTTCTTTCCTCCTCCGGATCTCTTCTTCTTCTTCTTGTTGTTTTTGCCCTCGTCGTGTGTGTCCGTGCTGATGCCCCCTTCGTCCTCCTTCCGGCCGGGGGGGGAACAGATGCACCGCACCGCCCAATCGGAAGGAGCGACAGCACCCCAAAGACTACAACACACACACACAAAAAAAAAAAAAAAAAAGGAAGAGGGGAGAAGGGGGAGGAGCAACACGACACAACACTTCGGGCAAATCAAAAATATAATAAAATTAATGGCGGTGGAAAAAAAAAAAAAAAGGAAAAAAAAAGGCACTTGTCCTTCAATTCATCACCCCCTCCGCTCCCCCCGTCGAGATGGCATGCCGCCGCACACCCACGTACACCCCGCAAATAGATGGCAAAACCCAATCAGACAGGGAAAAAAAAAAAAAAAGTCAATCCTTCCTCCAGTTCATTTTATTTCGCTTTCAACGCACCCCACACACACACACACACACACACACACATACACGGCGGTAACGGAGAAGAAACCCCGTGCCACCCCTTCGTCACCCTCAGTTGGACGCCATAACACCCCGTTCGCACAATCGCCACGTTCCCTGCGCCCGGCACGGCATCATGACTTCGTGGTGTAAATTGTCCTCCACAGGAATAACAACACAAAAAAAGAAAAAAAAAAGGAAACCAACAATCTACATCATCAAAAAAAAAAAAAACACAAAAACACA